TGAGTCTGAATTAAAGTAAGCATGGTCTTTCTGAGCCCATGCTCTGAAGGCCATTCTTAGAGGTCGATGCCCAGGGTCGGAATGGATGGACTGTATAGAAGTCTCCAGAGGTCGGAAATAAACAAGGCTGCAATTTTCCTTCTCCCGTTTTTATTCCCTCACAGGACTTTGCCATCAATCTGGAGCACAAGGTGTCTTCCATCAATGAAGCCCTGCAGATGAAGTCCTTGACTTTCGTGATTGACGCCTGCAAGGTTCTGGCCCAGGCCCGCAAGGTGGGAGAACAGGGGGCCTGACTCGCTGCGGCCACAGGGGCGCTTTCCAGAGGCTCATTTCAGCCTCAGTATTGCTACATACCTTCCTCTGTCTGGGTTAAGTCTGCACAAGAGGTCATAAAGTCATGTCTACATTCAGACATCGTTTGAATATGCCCTCTAGAATGCAAAGTTTGGGGAAGCAAAAGAATCAAATGAAATAATTTGGAGATCCTGATAAGTAAATGTATGGAAATCATTGTTAAAAGAAAAAGAAATTATTGGTCTTCATCTGATACCATCTGATTGGTACCGATGAAATCTCTGCGTCGATCAAATTGTACGGTTTGAATACAACAATGCATCTTCACATTATTAAATTGGTTTCTGTCTTAAATCCCATGCTTATGTGCTTCAAAGCTACTGCTTAGCAGAAGGACAACCAAAACAAGACTAGAGGTGTGATTAATGTCACTGGGGTTTCCAGGTGCTGGCCTATTCGTGTGTGTATAGTTACTACAACCAGGACACCGAGAAGATGGACATTATGGAGCAGCAGACGGAGACTCTGGAGCTTCATACTAATGCTCTGCAGATACTGCTGGGTGAGTAGGGAAGAGACGCCCACATTCTCAACAGAGCTTTGTAAACTGACACCCCACTGGGTTACTTGCACATAATAGTTGTTCTTCCACAGTTTTATTACAGGAAAACCCTACAAAAGCTATCAGTCTATCCTCATGGGGTCCTTAAATCTAGTTTTCCCAAGTCACCTAGTGTGCTTTTGAAGTCTCCATTGTTTGCAAAAGCGCCCCTTGTTGCTTGCTCTGAAGTGGTGACTTGTTCACCATTCATACCTGCTTTCTCCCCTCCAGAGGAGACTCTGCTGCAGTGCACTGATCTGGCCTCCTGTATCCGACTGCTGAAGCCAGAGCACCTGAGCACAGGGCTGGAGCTGATCCGCAGGATTCAGGAGAGGCTGCTGGCCATCCTGCAGCATTCCACACAGGTAAGTGCTGCTGGCCACACAGCTGCCTGCTGATGGCCAGGCTCGCAGTACATGCTGCCCCTGTCTGCCCGTTAAGGAGTCAGCGTAGAGCAAAGGTTGTAGCTATCCATTTGAGAGTAGGTGTAGTTCAGATCATGGTCCTTTATGACAGCCAACACCAGATTGCTGGATGATCATCAATCATTGCAGTTGATTGGATTTCAATAAATCTAAAATTCTAAAAAAAGTGCCAAAGCTGTCACTTCCACCTGTTTAAACTTTTGTTATGGAATAATTCTTTGAGAAATAATAATAATAATAATAATAATAATAATAATAATAATAGCTTACACTTATATAGCGCTTTTCTGGACACTCCACTCAATCGAAATAGCCCCAATCAAACAGCAACATTGATTTCAGCAGAAAAAGCAGATGGTGATGTGTATGTTCTGATCAGTCCTGTCCTAGGTATAGTGTATAGTTAATTAAACATTTTATGGTTTGCTGAATACTGTTCCAGTAATTTAGAATGATGCTAATGCTTCCAGGTGAACTGGCAGTTTTGACAGAGGTGCAAGCCCTGGATGTATTTAATGTTCTGGTTCAACACTCTTCATATTCAGGAATATCAGGCAGCCTATATCAGATAAGACCAGTGAAGTGCATTAACTGATGAACTCTTCATCCACTTCAAATATCATCTAAGATGACAAAACTGTGGAGTGGAGTAATAAAGTGAAGTCAAGTAATTTGCACAAGATCAATAACATTGCTGCTTAAGGAAGATGTACAGACTCTTTATATTAAGGCTCTACACAAACTGTACTTCACTGTATTAAATGTATTCACGTCTAGTTTTCTACACAGGGCAGCTCTGTGTCATGAAACCTGATCATTTAAGATGCATTTGCTTCAGTGGTATTACCTCTAAGAAGATGTTCTAATCTGTCAGTATTAGCACTGCTGTGTGTGCACATGCTGCATTTGTTTTTTCGAGGTGAATAAACTATAGAAGTAAAACGCTATCTTGGACTCACAAACGCTGATGAACCAACTCTTTATGACTTTCTCTTTCTGCACAATACCAGTGCTTCAAAAGTTGCTTGACACTTCAGCGAAAAGGCTGACTTGGGCTTTCCTGCAGTCCGGCTGGACTGTTCTTACCAAGGTGAAATCACTGGTTTGAATGCGGTACAGTTATAATCCTCTCTGGTCAGCTATATTGTTCCCCCTAAGCCAGCCTCCTTGTACCTGGCAAGTGACTTTTGATCCAAGCGGTATAACAGAAGTTATATATAAATAAGCACAGAGGCCTGTTTCATGTCTTGAATCGCAGGACTTTCGAGTGGGCTATCAATCGAAAGCAGGACCCGACCAGGAGGCGGCACAAGCTTCCAATATAGCTAACCAGTCAGACTCGAACAAGGAGTGAGTATCAGAGGGGCAGTGTGCAGAGGACCGAGGGGAATCGCATGCTGCTTCGGCCTTCGAGCTTAGCTGCAGTATCTGCTCTTTATGTCTGAGGAAGACGGCATGGCTGGAAATTAAACTCCCTTCTCTCTCGTTTCATTAAAATGTCACTGATGATAGATTAGGCTATGGTATCTTTTTTTGTTACCTTAGATCACTTCTATTTCTAATCTGAAAGCCTGCCTGAAGGTTTTAAATGGCTACTTTTTGGTCCTGTAAAATATTCTGATGTAGTGGCCTTTACTCAATCTGTATATTCAAGACCAACACTGATGCAGTCTATTGCCAGACTCCCTGTGCACTTACTGCTTGCCAGCTTCTTTGGAAATGCGCATTCTAACACATCGCCACTAGGGGGCGCACAGGGCGGCACAGAGATGACGGTGATGACGGTGCCCGTCGCTCGCTCTCTCCCTCTGGCAGGAAGAAGTCGGATGGCGGCTCGGACTCGGGGGACTCGGACAACAATAACAACGGCGGGGAGGAGGGCGGGGACGGCGAGGAGGAGGACGAGGAGTACGACGACGAGTACGTCCCCGAGTGGCACGAGGACTACGACGAGGACGACATCGACGAGGACGACTTCTTCTCCGACGACGACGAGTCCGAGAACCTGGAGAGAGACTTCAGCCCCTTCGACTAGGGCGGCGCCCGTCGCGGCCTCCGCCGGCACCCAGCCTTCCCTTTCACAGACACCTGCAGCCATCGCCGACTGGAAGCGCGCTCCGGGAAGGCTTCTCGGGAAGGAAAATCGGATTCAGGTTTTACACAGGGGCCTAGTCGAGTCCCGCCAGCCCTTCTCTCGAAGAGACGATGTTTTGGTCTTTCTGTCACCTTCCCTCTTTCTGTTGTGGTTTGTGGTGAAAAGTCACTTCATTCCTTATTACTACCTGAGATCTTCCGAAGGTGGTTCCAGGAGTGAAACTGGAATCCTTGGGAACCTGATGTGAATGTATTTCAAGTGTACTCTTAAAGGATGTGACTGAGATGACAATCACACTTGAATTTGCCACTTCGCATTTTTCTGATTCAAAGTTGCCTGAACTTTGACTAGAGACGTTTGTTTGTGTAAACACTTACTAAAACGTGAAAAGGAAAACATTTTGCAACAGATAGCTCCTGCAGAGTCCTTTTCTACATTTGTTTAGCTGGATTTTTTTTTTTTTACAATTGCATTGCCTTTTTTAAATTTGGCCATTTTTATTGAAGTGCAGAAAATTCTATGTGAAGACGTCCACCCCTACAGGGAGTGAAAGAGCTAAATCAAAGCGATCAAAACAGTGTATTCTGTCCAGACCCATGTGAGAAATGTGCATACTAGTTTAAGTATTTTTAAAGGGCTAACCTAGAATCTCAAAATGACCTGTGTAAAACCTGACCAGGAGCAAAGCAAAAGGACAAACAAGCTCAAGGTCTCAGAGCTAAGAGCGCACCAAAGAGAGAAGAATCTGATTTTTAAACTGCAAAGTCAATAATGTATCTGTCACATCTACCAAGATCTCACTGCAATAATTGGAAATTTACATGGCTTATAAAGTACATTCTTTGCAAAGCAGCAGCTTGTGTAACTTGCTTCTTGTTTTTTTTCTGAAAAAAAGGAAATAATACAGTTTTTTGAACATGTTATATGTTCACTTATCTAGAGAAATTTGTTGAAAGTTATCTTGCTTTGAGTTGGAATTTACAGGTTAGTTCTAGCAGAATGTTTAAATATCCTTATATATTCATATACTGTTCATCTATAATGTTCTATCTTTCTGGGAAAAAAATGAAAATTGAAGTTATGCAACTTCAGCTTACTAAATAAAAGAGCTTTTCTGCTAATATCTTGTTTTTGGATCTTTCTAACTACATGGGTACACTCTGACCCTCCATGGTCTGTGAGCATTTTCTCAGTAAAACAGTCAGGAAGGGGAAATGAAATTAAAGACATCGAATACACTAACATACTGGTTTTAAGAAGTAAAGGAAAGATGATAAAATACCATTGAATTAGAATTACATCATATCAGAACTGAAAACTCATGGCAGGATTGCAGTAATGCCATGATTCGCCCAGTAGAATAGGGGGTCTATAGACGACACCCCGGAACCCCTGTAGAAAGCCTCCAAACCAACACGCCAATTAACCAATTAACCCATGCCAACCTGCAGAGAACATGCAGATTCCACACAGAAGGCATCCTAGTCCAAAATTGAACTTGGGACCCAAGAGCTGTGATGCTGCAGTGCAGAGCACTATACAATTAAGAATTTCTATTATTAATAGAAAGCACCACAATACACCTGGTCAGAGCCTGGTCTTTACTGGAAGCTTGGTTTACAGAAACTTGACCACAGCGCAGCTTCAAGAGGACAAGCCGGTGGCTGTGAAGTAGTCCTCCACGGTTGTCTCAGCCTCCTCCTCCGCGTAGTCCCGCACCTGGAACCGGGAGCCGTCCGCTGCGCCGCGGATCATCGCGGACAGGACTGCGGAGAGAGAGAGCGCTCAGGCAGGGACACGCCTCCACACGCTGCTTCCTCTGCCATGCTGGACAAAGGGCCTCGTCCCTTACGGGCTTGAAGAAGACTGGTGTTGAGCCCTACAGCCCTACACAAGTGCTTCGTGTCCATTGAGCATGATTTTGCTTTGAATTGCCTTTGCTTTACAAATAAAGATGAAAGGTCTAAAGGTCTCGGTTTCTCATAATTCAGCACATCGCCCCTTAGTTTCAAAACCCCCTGGTATTCATTTCAGTAAAGTTGCCGAGAATACTCATGGGCTCAGGACATAAAAGACCGATTTGAATATGCAGACAAGCCGTTATGGACAGCTCGCCTATGGTAAAATAACGGATGAGATTTGGGACGATAAGCTAGTTTACGATCCTCTGGCACCACTGTCTCCTGGAAAGAAAAACGATTATTTTGCGTAGTAGAACGCTTTAATGGGAACAGGCGTTTTCACACATACTGCACCTCGGCCCGAGGAAGGTCGGAAGAGGCACAGGACCCTCTTGTCCATGGCTACAGCTCTGCCCAGCTCGTATCCCACTCCCAGCGAGGGCTGCGTCACCTCGGCCACGATCACTGCCAGACAGACCGGGGTCACACACCACGGGCCCGCGGACAGACCGCAAGAACCTCTACTGCTCCTCTTCTAGATTTGTTAATTGAAGCTCACATTAGAAACAAAACGATTACCTCTTTATCCTTTGGACTAAGTTTTCCAGATTAAGGGCCTACCTCTCTCTTATGCTGAAAAAGTGATCCATACCTACAATTTATCAGGAGAAGCACCTTACTGGGGTGTCTACTGCAGTAATAAGCTTCACTGTGTGCAGAATTCTGAGCAGCCTGTGAACATGACTCTTGCCTCAGCATCCCATTCCCACCCTATGGAAACTGCTTTAGCTTCCTGTGAAACTTAAGAGCGGATTTTAAACATCCCCTGCTGATATACCGAGAGGCATTAAGACCACCACAAATCAGTATGGAAAACCTCAGTATTCCCCTCAATATTTAAGGAACTGAACAGTCTGTCCACAGATGGGGATTAATTCTATGAGTGCAGCATTTCAACAGAGATCTATTTGACCAGGCTCCAAACAACAGGTGAAAGAGCCTTCTTTTGTGCTACTCTGGAACAAGAGTCTGATTCACTGCCTAACACCTACCCAACTGTCTACTCTCACTACAGACTCTGCCACTGTAGACGGTCTAAGAACTCAGTTTAAAGATTTTAATGTAGAATTTATTTTACTCTCCATTTGATTTGGTCAGTTTACTGCAGGATTTTGCACTACTTGACTGCTTTATCGTTGGTGTCTTTATTGTTGTGGCTGCTGTAATGATCGGATGGCCTCACCATCAGCCTGCTTCAGCCAGTCGACGTCTCTGTCGTGGATAGCCTTGTCTCCCTCCAGCACAGCGTCTTCCCCTGGCACAGCAAAACACAGGACAGAGGGCCAGTCAGTGTGGAGGCACAATGATCCCAGATCACAGGAACCTTTCACTATACCCAGACGCCAGCGGGGATCTCCAGCTCTGGCCCTGCAGAGCCCAGTTCAGCAGTTGTGGAAGGTCACCACCGATGAGGGAGGTTACGAGAAGAGGCTGTTCTGTCCATCTGGCCCATTTAATAGTAGCTTATCGATCCCAGGACCTCATCCAGCTGTTTCTCGAAAGAACCCAGGGTATCGGCATCAATCACGTCTGGGTAGCTTGTTCCACACTCCCACAACCCCTTGCAAAAAGAAGAGCCTCCTCCTCTGGGTTGAAAACGTGCTTCCACACAGTCTACCCTGGTGCCCTCTGGCTTTTGTTCGGCAGTTCGTTCTGAGATATGGTCAGTGAAACACGCGATATGAGTAATTGAGGGATCATTTAGGACCAGAATCTCTAAATCGATCAGATTACTAGCTTAATTCATCGATCATGCACAGATGTTGCCGATCTGTAAAGCCCCTGGCTTATGGGACCCTCCAGCTCCAAGGCTGCGACCTCTGATCAGAGGGTCCAGGTTGAGATGAAGTTTAGTTGTCCTTTACGTCATGTAATGTGATTGCGCGGTCGGTACGTCAGCGATTTGTTTGCAGTCCATAATCAAAGCATTCATATATTCTAAACACCATTAACGAACCGCAATACGTTAAATGCAAACAGGCGTAAATAGCGTAAGGTTTTCGCAAATTTAAAACCACTCAGTTCAGTACCGTACAAAGTAACCTCGTCATATTTTATTGTACGCCTATTTATATGCGCCCTTTCGCTTCAGTTTAAGTGTTACTCGATTCGGATTAAAGCACACACATTGCAGTAATTAATGGAATAGCGCACTGGGAGTAACTATGACGATAGACACTTGAGCAAAACCTCACCTTAACCGAAAACGAAAAGTTAAAGCTTAACCGAAAAGTTCACCGAAAGTTTTTTTTTGTTCAAAGGAAAATAAAGGACCATCGTCTTCATGCTCGCACGCACTGCTGGAATCTACACACCTGCAATCTGGGCTTTTATCAGGTAGAAGTTAGAGATGGGAAGCACGCAGAGAAAACACCAACCACGTCAAAACACATAGTTCAAACAACTATGCGGCCATGCGGTTCGGTGAAGGAGTGGAGGATGGAAAAGTAACATTCTCAACACGGGGAATCAACAAGAAACACAATATAGGAGGGAAAACACCTTTTTCTGACAATGCAGCGTGGCTGACATGCTCCGTCAGAACGGTGCCGTACTTCTGCAACTTCTGCACAATCTTCTGGTAGACTGCCACGTCCTGCCTCCCTCCCCGAATGCTGCCACAAAAGTAGATGTTCAAAGCCATGCTGCTTTCAAAGGATGCGAACCCGATGTAACTCCGGCCCTGCCTTAATTCGGGCCGGACCCCCTCACTCGGCAGCTGAAGCGTCCGGTTTCAGTTGTGCGGGTCAGATGGGCCTTCCGTCGCGCCGCACCACAGCGCCACCTGGGGGCGACGGCGCAACACCGCAGCATCAGACTGGCCTCATACGGGATCATGTTATGATGGAATTGAACCCTACTAGTATCATATGTCTTTAGCACAGAGGGCAGGCAACCCCTTTTACTCTTATGTCAGGTTCTGCTTTCAGACACAAATGAAGACTTGAAAAAACACAGCTCATTTTTCAGCGCTGCGCCGTAATTAAACACTTCCCGAATGCGGTTTTAAAATGAGAAGCGTATGTTTAATACACATACTGTCGGGAAAGCAGAATATCAAAATAGTAGAATAAATATAATATAAAGGAATGAACAAGAACTCCGTGTCGAAACTTGCAACAAAAGCCTTATCGGTGTAGCTTTCATGTCAGAAGCAGAAATGACCACAGTCTACGTGTCTGACACACCAGTGAGGTGAACAGTTTTTCCAGTGCTCCCTTGAGCCCTGGCTGAATACCCAGTGTGTAAAGAAAAGACAGCTCTTTCAGACAATAACTCATATAAATAGGACTCTGCAGGACTTTGTGTTGGTGCAGGACGCTCCAGATCCGTGTCTCGTTATAGTGACGTATTGACGCTGCGACCGCCTGCGGCCCATTTCCGGGAGATACAGGAAGTGGGCAGAGGTGTTTGTGTGTAAGGCGATGGAGAGACGGGGCTCTTAAGGATCTTTTTGCAAACGTTTCTCTCGTATCCGAAGAAAGAAGCAGGTAAGTCAACTCAGCTTCAGCTTGGGGGGGTACTAAGGGGGCGATTTTTATGTGTGTGCACACAATGTCAGCGTATCAAGTTCAAAAGCAAATTGTGCCGTATGGTTTAGGTATTTGTCAGCTTTGAGCGTAGTTACATTCATCGAATTGCCTGTTCGTAAAATGTTCGTTACTAGATGTGACTGAAATTTTACTGCTGGTGGTAAAAGAAACGATTATAATATCCTTGAGAAGTGTTGGTGAAGATGCTGTCAAGTACATTTCTGAAGTTGCGAGTCCCCTAGTAGACCCAGGAGCAGCCTGCAGTCATTACTGTTCGGTTGCCGTTGTAGGGTAGCGTCTAGTCTCCTTACAGAATAGCGATTTCACTTAATATTCAGAACAGAATATTTTCGTCTTACTGTTGTCAAAGTGTCACTTATTTTGAAGTTAGTTGTATCACAATGGTGTTTCTGTAGGCTCAAAAAATGCGGGACTTGACCTTTCTTCTAGAATGCCACCGAAACAATGGCACAATGCAAATAATAAGTACTTTAAACAAAACTGAAGATGTATTAGGGGAAGTGGGGGGCTGTGATGCGAGGGGCTGTCGGATCTGGGAAACAGCCCCCATCTGGAGTGGCTGCAGCTCCCTGGTGCAGGAGTGTCAGACCTCTTGGTGAAGTCACCTGGCTACAGCTGGGATCCCCCTGTGGCCACGGTCAGACGGGTGGTCCCAGATAGGAAATGGGGGTCAGGCCGTGCTGGGATCTTGGGGACTGCCAGCTGCGTGTCGTGGGCTCCGCTGCAGCCCCTGACCTGCCGCCTCGCGCCCGCTGTGCTGCAGCTCCGGCCCCGGCCCCGGCGCCTGTGCATGGAAGTGGAGAGAGCCGCGGAGATGGGCCCGGAGAGGATCTTCCCGAACGCGGAGGAGGAGCTGGGGCAGGAGCGGCTGTCGGACGGAGGGGGGCTGGAGGCGGGAGGCGAGTGGAGCAGCGAGGAGCCCGAGGAGGACGACGAGGAGGAGGAGGCGGCGGCGGAGGGAGAAGACGAGGATGGAGCAGGAGGAGGGTATTATTACCAGCCCTTGAACCAGGACCCAGACTCAGGCTTGCCCAGCTCTCAGCAGACAGACCAGCCCGAGGAGTCCGGCCCTTCAGAGCCTGTGGAGGACATACAGGACAGGATACAGGTACTTGTCTGGCACGGCAGGCAATGCTGAATGAGCGCTGGGAGACAGCGGAGTCTGCAGGCTGCTCTGCTCCTGCCAGCTGAGTGGCTGCAGTCTGTGGAGGAGGGCGATGGGGTGACGGGCTCAGTGTGGCTCAGTGGTCAGCAGCCTTTTTGCATCTCCTGCTTTTCACTTTCCTTAAACAGATGAGGCACTGGAACATCTCCGGTAATTGTGGTGTTCACCACCGATGTCGTTTTGAAATGAAAAGGTAGCCAAGTCTGGTGGTGCCTTTTGAATGATGCCTCATGATGGTAGGCATTAGTTTCAAAACTATTATCTTTATGTACATTGCATATACATACAAATCACACAGTGTGGAGGACTTCTAAGAACTGTTTTACAGGCATTGGGGTGTGCCTCCACCTGTCTATTTTCTAAGCTCTTCATCCAATTCAGGGTCGCAGAGAAGCCAGAGCCCATCCTGGCAAGTAATTGGTGCGAGGCAGGATACACCCTTGGTAGGACGCCAGTCCATCACAGGGCAGATACACAGATACGCACACAGGGCCAATTTTCCCAGAAGCCAGTTAACCCAAGTGTGTGGTTTTGGGCTGTGGGAGGAAACCCACACAAACACAGGGAGAAGGTACAAACTCCACACCCACGAATTGAACCCAGGCCTTCAGCGTCACACCCCTCTGCCGCTGTGCCAGCCCCACTGCAGGCTTCTGTCCCCGGATGGGACGAAGTGTCCAAACAGCTCTCTTCTCATGGACTGTGTGCAGACAGCCCCAGGAGCAGGCTTGCTGCAAAATCTTATCTGTTGAAGTATTCTTCTGGCAGGTTTAGCGTGACATTGGGTTAACTTCTGTTTGACAGGGAGAGTGAGAAACCGTCCTTGCTGTTCAAATGCTTTTTGGTCTGCTACACTGGTGCTCAGGTTTTTTTTTTGGAACTCTTAAAATTGAGGGGTGACGTGTAAAATAGGGGAATGTCACTGGGGATGGAGCATTAGGCATGTCATCTGGAAACACTGATGCTGGTGCTTTCATTTTCACAACACAGACTCCCAATGCTCACGTTTCAGTATGGAGGGCAGAGGTCTTGACAGCTTGTCAAAAGAAGAAGCAGCACTGTCCAGTATGAGCCTTTACATTGGATAAAGTTGTCTTCTCAGACGGAAACTTGGCTGGCCATGTTCTAGAGGGTGTACTGTGAACTACAGCCTCTAATATTAGAAGCACATGAGCCTATAACCACAACGCTGTTTTACAGGTTTGCTTTGTCTCACAGATGTGTTCAGCTGTTGAAACTATCGGCCTTTCTGAAAAATCCTTTTCTTTGCATAAGTTTTGAATTCTGAAACCTTTAGTGTTCCCAATGCAATAAGCACAGTCAGGAGCCAACATGAGGTATAGATAGGAATTTGTGGTCTTGTGACTCATGGAGGTACAGTTAGTTTTATTTTGGCAAGGGTCTGAAGCAGTACAGTCTTCCACCTGCCCCGTGACGGCAGTTTCCTGTGTGCTGTTCAGGCGATGGGCCTGTTCCTGCCCCAGCCACCTGCCCCCGACAGTGACGAAGAGGAGGACCCTGAGGAAGCAGCCGCCCAGAGGAGCCGCAGTTCCATTCCCATGGACGCCAGTGAGTTCCTGGAGTCCTGCTGGAGCGCACTCCAGCTCCAGGTCTCCCAGTGCTCCATCCCAGCACCAGTGTCGGGTTTCCCAGAATGCAGTATTCAGCTCCACACGGGACCAGTTATTTTGAGGGTCATTATGAGCACATAAAGTGTCATAAAACAGTGGCACAGTGAAGAACACAGGTTTACTTTAACCTATTCAAAGTGGGTGATGAGCATTTTAAGAAAGTTTGAAAATACAGCTATGAGGCTTTAAGAATTCTATATTTAGAAAGTAAAACCAGTTGGTTACCACTTTTTTTTTTAAGTCTAAAACGCCACATCTCTCCCACAATTATGATTTGAGGCCACTTGAATTTTTACAATTAATCCAGACATGCAAAACCAATGGCTGGATTAAATAAAATCAAGGAAGCAATAAGTAGATGTCAGTTAGTTTCAACAAAACAATTAAATGTAAAATGTCAGTGCTTTATGTTTTCCTGCATGAAATAGGAGAAAGTCTGGTTGTGATTATAGAGTATGCACGCTATTCGTATACGATGTCAAGTAACAGAAGGGTTTCTTCAACTAAGCGTGCGTCTCCTGCCTTCACTAGCCCACGTGGAGCTGGTGAAGAGGACCATGGCAGCGGTCAGCCTGCCCTCGCTGGGGATCCCCCCCTGGGCCCAGGAGATCTCAGATGACCAGTGGAAGGACATGGTCCAGCGGACACTCCAGTCCCGGCAGGCGTCTGCCGGCCTGAAGCTGGACCGCAAGTGAGGGCAGCCCCGCGTCCTGCGCCCAGAGCCGTGGATGACGTTCTGTATGCCCAGCTGAGTATACCTTTATGGCAGTCTTCACTACAGCCGTGTAAAGTTTCTTTTCACACGATTAACTCTACACCCTACTCTCCAAATTTCAGACTGCCCCTTTTCAGTTATGTTCATGATCATTCTTTAATTCATATGTAGTATTTTTTTTAATTCTTCATTTTTTCAATGTGTTTATATTTCAGTGGTGATTTTAATAAATGCAACAGAATCTAAAATAAAGAATGTAAGGATATTCCTTGTGGATGCATTTTCTTTGATATGGTAGTCAGTTTAAAGATTGATATTCTGCTTTTTTTCATAGCATTTTTTAAAATGCACACCTTCAAGTTTGTTTCAAGAGACTTTATTTTGTTCTGTACATACATGAACATCTGTACAAAATATGACATTTTCATACTATGTAATGCTCTACCTAAAGTACAACATATGTACATATGACCTGGAAAGCAGCTTAATGTTAGTGTCAGAACTGGGGGGAGTTGTGGTAGTGGAGAGACCCTTAATTCTTACAGCCCTCTAGGCATTATGCTCAGCTCAGCTGCTGGACAAAATGAGCACCCTGTCCTCTCCTCTGGTTCCCACAAAAGGCTGTTCACACCAGACCGCTCTGAAGGACACAGTTTCTCAAAATCTGCTTGAAGGAATGTCTGAGAGGGCTGTTGGACTTGGGAAAGCAGGGCAAGGAAATGGAGTCTGCTTGTGGTAGATGAAAGCAGTAACATTTATCGTGGTTGTGTAGACAACAGCCCATGTTCACTGATCTTTGGTACAGCCCAAGACGAACATGCTTTCTTTATAGGTAAAAGATGTACTGGTCACAAGACACCATCAAAACTAAGACTTTCAAAACCTATCTGTACCTTATAGTAGAGTATGAAATGTAACTACACCATTAAAAAAGTACTATGACATTGTATTTAAAAAGCTGCCTGTTCTATAGTAACTGTGTACTGTTTTGGAATGAGGGGGTAAGTATTGAAAACAGGGTCTTAAACCTAACCAGCCAGATAATGGTTCCACAGTTCCAATAAATCAGTGCTACAGCCCTATATATTCTGAGGTATTCAGTCATTTGATCCAAATGAAAAAGCAGATATTTGATAGTTTGTAAACCAAGTAGAAAAATAAACCTGACTTCCTCTTAGCTTTACAGTAACAAAACAACTAAGTGACCATTTCATGACTGGGGAAAAGGGAACCTCAAGCCATTTTAGGATCAAACATGTTTTCATGCCTTATACAGAAATGCCACTTTAGATATTTGCAAAGTTGAGTAGTAGTATAGTGTATATGGTCACTTTGTCCAGCAGCTGCCCTCTGAGAGAAGTGTTCCCCACCGTTGGAATGATTAGAAAGAGAAGGACAGAAGCTCAAGTTCCAGACCCCACAACAGAAAAGGGAGATCGTGCAGCAGGACAGGGGAGAGGAGGGGAGGAGTCCAGACCAGGCAGGGAGGACAGGAGGAATGAGGAGGGGGACTGCAACCCTAAGCAATATACATTACAATATACAGTACACAAATATTCGCAACAGTAACTGCAGGCTTTCTTTTTTCTTATAATGAGCCTGAATAATAAGCAAATCTCACCTTTTTACTTTCGTGTATATTCCTAATAAGAGGATTGTATAGCGCTCCCGTACACCAAGTGCATGTTTTAAATTGTTTTTTAAATATTGCTTCGGCACCATAAAAATGTTGTTCACAATCTATGACAGAGTCTAAATAATAAATCACAGGTTTTCAAGGGGCTGGGTGAGATGAAGAGATTCCCTATGCTTGCAACGGCAATTAGTAGTTTGTTTCTAAAACATGAGTCAGCATTTTCATTTCCAGTGACTGCAGCCTTTGAAAAATTAGGAACAAATCTGTAAGTAGTGTAACTTGGACACTACACTCAAAAGGTACAACGCAGGCAGTTCATGCCTTCAGAAAACAAACAGCAACCAGGACATGCTTTGTACATGGCACTGATTCCTTGAGATCCAGTTGGATCACAAAATAGTTCCACCCATACTGTATGACAACTCCCTCTCTAAGCGTTAGTACTAATGCAGTCTGTCTACACAGCTCCCTTGCCAAGCACAAAATCACCAGACTGAATTGCTACACAAAACCCACTGAGAGACAGAACAGGAAGCTAGCCCTCCAGCTGTGGTGAAGCCAACAGCTGCTAGAGAAGATGACCGCTCTGCTCTTGGTTAGAACTGAGCCTGAAGTCTGCTTGCCAGAACATAAAATAATGCTCAGCATGGGAACAATTGCTTGTTCACAATGCCATTCTCTGCATAACCAAAAATAAAACTATGAAGGCAGTTGATATTTTCACATCCTTTAAGTAAAAAGCCAACAGCAAAGCCAGTATTTCACCTTTTTAAAATTTGGCAGATTGCTCGATAATAGTCTTTGTAGGTGACAACATTGTTGAAGTGTAAAAGACATTCTGCCTTCACAAATGTTAAATTATTAAAACGATCTTAAATGTAGCATTTAGAAAACTGTAGATCCACATGGCATCTCCTTTTGCACAACCACTAGATGGCCACATTGGTTACAGTCATAATCTAGAATACTTAGTCCATATAAGGAACTAGTCCCAAAACCAGAGCTAGTCCCATTCATCACAGCAACAGATACCCCAGAAGATTAAATTGAGCACTAAAGCATTTAAAACAGACAGCGATCAAGCTAATGTACAAGCTCTTACTGTACAATACCATGAAATCTATCTACATTAAGGGCAAGAATGCTAGCTCAACAAAAACGACTTAGGAGGCGTCTCTAGCACAAGGAGGTAGCTGCGACTAACAGGTGTCAAGAGACCATGGGAGGAAAGAAAACAAGGATCCTCACAACTGGGGACACTATCTGGTGCTGAGGTAGCAGCCATTACCAATGGTGACACTTTCTAGTGCTTTTTCCACTGTCCTTTGGACAGCTTGAATGAAATTATAGAACTGAACACTAAAGGCGGAGAGGATGTTTTACACGGAGTACAAATGACTTTAAATGTAACACTTTCCAAAAAAGGCAGATGGGTATCAAAGACGTTCTCACTATAATTAAAATACTATGACGTCTGTTCAGGGGGTCACGCCTGTTACACTTCCTGAGTCTCTTAACTACCTCTAGAACTGGCTGAATTCATCATACCTGATCTTTCTAATCACCTGTGCACAAAACCCAAGAAAATAATGCCAAAACGGATTCAATACTGGAATCTTTCACAATATAGCAGAAATTCTTTAAGCCCTGATTCTTCAAACCATTTGGAATGAGTGTATTGACATTTATAGCATCCAGGAAGGGAGTATGTATACTTGTGTTCCTCCAGCTCAGAGCCAAATGACTGCATATATTGCCCACTGTCACATGGCCTTAAAATATTAAAAACTGAAGGCTCAAATCCCGTCATTCAAGATTCTTTCAAAATGATGCAATAAAAAATCATCCATTTTGAATGGAACAAATACAGTACAGGTAGCAAATGGTGCAGTCTTTTCAACACAGGCTGCTACACAAGGAGATCTTTCAGAAACTCGGCATAGAAGTGCAATACTTGAGGTGAAGGCAATGATTCAGAAAACTCAATCTTTAGAAGCATAAAACCAAAATGAATTAAACCCAATGAATAAACTAAACAAGCAATGGTACTGCCTCTTTAAAAGAGAACATTACACATTTGGATAAAAATAGGGCTACTATATATGTTCCTGGAAAAAATGTCTACAAGTAAAATGGATAGCTTAAAAAAAAACACAGTGAAGGAAGCCTGCGTTTTTAAGTGCTTTTAGTTTCTTCAATACTAATAAAGTGACAAGTCTTGTTACCTACTAACACCTTCTCTTCAGAGCCTTACAGTGGCTGCAGATTTCCTAGTCAGAGGCTACACTCAATGAAAGGGAAAAAACACAAAGAGTGGGAAAAGGAAAAAAACATGAGGAAAGAGACACAAAAACACTGCTGACTGATTTTTTAGGATCTTCTTTCCTTGTGACCCAGCATGGTATACCAATGTTCTATTTGTGTGCGTGCGCGTCTTGTCTGTCTGGTGTGTGTGCGTGGGTGAGGATGTGTGTGATAGCTAGGGTCTTTGCAGACAGGGCTCTCCAGATGGGTGGAAAGCATTCGGGGTGGAGAGAGGGGAAGTGGGAGGGGCTCCCTAGTCAGAGAGCTTCCTGATTGGCTGTCAGATACTCCTCTGCACGCTTGTGGGCCTCCAGGGCTTTAATAGTATACACATCCTGCGGCAGCTCCGACTTCCGGCGCATCAACACCTTGTCCTTCTTCATGTCCTTGGTCACCTGACACACAAGAGGGGGACATTCATCAAGCTTTTATTCAAAGGGGAAAAAGAACAGCTGACAACTATTTGTGTAAATGCAAAAATTATCCAAATTACTATGCATCATCCAAACTGAAGCTGAAAAGTCCGGAGGGGTTACAAACAGGGCAGTGGATGGCTGTGCATCAACCCAAATTTTCAAAACCCAAGTATAGTTATATACTTCAAATAAAATAAGCTATACACGTCATGCACAAAACTATGCATTACCGGGACTTCACAGAGATAAGTGATGATTGTCTGCAAGTGCTACTGACGCACTGAAATCTAATTTTACAGTAATAGTATGGTTCTGCAGCACTGGATTGTGATTGGACGAAGCCAATTACTATTTGTATCCACTGTTCAACAGCTGCTCTTAACTCTCACCGTAACCTTAAAGGACGGACATTTCAAATTCCTGTGACTGTCATATAGAAAGGCAAGGGGTGAAACAACAGCATGAGCTTCAACTCCAGCTGTACAGGCTGTTAGGAGTCTGGCTGGCAAAACGCAAAGGCGATGCAAGCCAATACCAACTGGGAAAACCAGCTGGCTCTGCAAAACCGCTCCATGTTTGCCTGCCCAGGCCTTAACAGGGGCATAAATGAAACTCCACAACAGCAAAGACAGCCAACAACAGTCAAAGAGACCCTCTCATGGGAGCAGATGCTCTGGTGGCAGTGAATTACCTGTGTGGCCTCAGTTTCCACAGTTTTCTTCAGCAGCTGGATATCCTCAGCAGTTGGGGTCTCGGTCTCCATGGAGTATAAAGGCATCAGGGCTGAGCTCTCACTGTACATCATGAACTGCATGGAGTCACAACAGAGACAGTGAGAGGCAGCACCAGCACACACGCCCTGTGTGTTCCATTCAGAGTCCCGATTTCCTCTGCACGTCAACAACCAGAAACGTATTTTAACCTCGCATCCAGACGGACAACACAACTCCTGTGCTTATCAGAAATTAAAAATCTCTGTGATCAAGATACAGTGAGTCGCCTGGCCAGAGTGTGTTTATAGGAGCAGATGGAGAAGAAAGGGTAGGATGTCATGTGTCCTCTATTACATGTGACAGTTTAAAGACCGCGTGACAGTGCAAGCAAAAAGAGGAGTTAAGATGCTACTGTTATTATTAAAAATGAACAAATATCCAAACTAATGATTTTTGTGGGCCACCATCAAAAAGTGCATCCATTTGTTGCTAACCAAAACGGGTAAAAATTTATTTTGGCAGAATCTTCAATCATTAATGACAGCTAAAGTTTATTTTATTTTAAAAAGCTATTTTCCAGTCAAATAAAGAAGTTAGTTTTCTTTGGCTTGTGTGGTTTCAGAATTCAAGCTGCACTTGAGGTCTTTCGTGCCAATGCAGTCGTCATATTTCACACAGTGTGGACAAAGGCACGTCCACGGGGAAAAAAAATTCTTCATTCACTTCCAGAAGAAACATACAACTTGCCTCATCTTGAGGGTGAAAACCAGTGACACATCTGGAGGTCATTGAGGGATAAATCTTTGCACTCTTCCAGGGGAGATAGAAAGAGAGAGACAGCAAGATCATTTCCGTGTCTTAATCCAAACCACATCAATACACAGTCAGGCCAGCTCGCACTCTCTCAAGCTCATCAGAACAAGAAAACCGCAGCCACCACACAAGGTTCATCTACCGTATCCTCTTTTCACACTTAACATTATTTTACAACAGCAGAAATGCTGTACACTGTATTCACGACAGACACAAAGGGCAAGAGATTAACAGTGATAATTATATTGCTCAGCAGCAAGAAGATCTCTATTTAAAATTAGCAAAACAATGAAGTTCCTTACACTGGTAACACCCCCAAATTACACCATTAATTGACAGAAACCCTGACAGTGTAATTGCAGACTAACTGCACATACAAGTTGTGATACTATTCTTCTCGAGTCTCCTCACTTAACGGGGCAGCGCTCTCACTGTTCTGACCTGCGGGTTCTGGTGAGCCAGCTCTTCAATCTTGTGCCAGATCTCTTCACGTTCCTTCAGTTTGTACTTTTCTCTGAAATTGAAAAGAACGAAAGAAAATATATCGGTATCAACGAAACTGGAAATTTCAGAACGAAATGTTTCAGACAAAGAAATGGCTACCATTCAAACTTTGGAAAAAAAAAAGAGATTTTATTTTCTTTGGTGGACAAAGTGTGAGTATTTGCCTTTACATAAAGCACATCAATAAAACAGTAGTGCATTTGTGCTACACTCAATTTGGCTTTTGGCACTACAAGTTATTTCAAGAACATGAAGCAAAATAAAAATAATGCAGCTTCCTATGGAGTCCAATCACACAGTGCTGCCTGCTCCAGGATGGTATGTTTTTCTCTGACTCTAGCTGGATGCCTGCTGGGTTTGTACAGTACAGGGGACTCCTGTGGGCGGAACTCACTTCTGCTTCTCTGCTTTATACTGCTGTGTGCAGTCATCAAACAGCTTCTGATTCATCTCCATGAAGAGCTTCAGTGCATTGTAGATGAGCCCATGGATTGTCCTTGATAGGTAAGGGAAAGAGGGAACTGTTAATCCAGGAGTGCAAATAAAAACTCACCCAAGCAAAGAAGGAAAGAAGGATGAAAAAAACAACAAAGCTGCTGAACAAACAGCCGCTCTCGACAACGGGATTGTAAGAAATCGTTTATCATCTCTTAAGAAAATCACTCCATACATAGTTTTTACCTTTATAATTATTTCTGTTTCTTGCACTGCTTTTTCATTGAGACCGATGTTTCATCCTAGTGTTTTCATACTCTATCAGCCTTGATCAGAACATTTTTGTGTCAACTTCGGCACTGACCGACTTGTTTGAACTACGGGTGGGAACGCCGTGTGGGAGCTGGCTGTTTTAGGTCTATGAAAGGGTGGCACTACGGATGGCAGGACGGCGGTGGCGCTGCTGCCTCTCTGCTCCCGGTGCTCGAATCTGTCGGCTCGTTTTCTCCCTGCCTGCCGGGTTTAGCCTCTGGCTCATTGCAACATCTCTACACATGAAAAAGCTACTGAAAATGGATCGATGGATTTAACTCTAAAACTATTACATATCAGAATACTCCATCCCAAAAGCAACAAGCACAAGGCAGGGTATACCCTAGACGGGACACCAGTCCACTGCAGGGTGGACTTGCAAACACACTGACACACGGGGGCACGTTTCCACAATGAGAACACAACACGATAGGACTCAGAAGGCAATGAACCCCCCAGTATGTCTTTGCAAAGCTGGAGGACTGGAGCACCTGGAGGAAACCACACCAACAAGGGGAGAGAACATCCTAAGTCCACACTGATAGCTTCAGGATCCGGATTGATCAGTGGAACAAGGGCTGTGAGGCAACAATGCTTACCACTGTGCGCCCATCCCACCCCCCTCAGAACATTACATGAGTAATTCCATCAGGACATACTGAATTAATGCAGTAGACCCTTCTATCACAGGATCCTTGACACCACAACCTTAATACTGCTACCAGCATTATTCTTGTTTTTTTATTTCATTTTCCACACCAGGTTGGCAAGATGATAACTGTTCTCAACTTGATTACAGCGACTTACCATCCCGTCAGCTGTGAGCCACAGAACAGCTGTCTGGACTTAAGAAACAGTGCCATCGGTAGCTACTGTTACTACTGTGGTGATGCTGGTGTCCTGAACAAAACTTCACATTCCTAAACTAATCACAAAATTTCATTCAGCATCTATGTTTATGCTGTATCCCATAACATTTTTTTCCGCGTTTTAACCAGTAATGGTAAACATTCCTGGATAATTTGTGTGTACCGATATAGTATATTAATAATAAATACTCTGTTCGCACTGCAAAACTGTTTTAAGATTGGCAAAACAGAAGTGTTCTTAAAAGAAGGCAAAAAGATGTGACCCCTCAACATGCTGCACGCCTCACAATAAGACATAGGAGTAATTATTGTTTTCAACCTTTAATGCACAGCCTGAGAAATACCATGCTGCAGACGTAACGCAGCAAAGCAGCAACTTTTCAAACAGCTGCCACGCGCTGCTTTTCATGAATTCACTTGAAGATGACATTACTACTTTACGACACGAGACTCTTAACACAGCACAAATAAAGAAGTTAAGCACCTGCCTTAAGCACCTACCCATCATCAGAAAGTTGGAAACCACTGAGAATCACAGAAGCTCCCACCTGTCACACTTCATGAATACACTGCTCTATTTGTTTCACTGAACATTCCTCCCAGTCCTCAAAAAGAAAATATTGTTTTGAAGGACAACACGAAAGCTCCCATTTCCTCCCAGTCCAAACTAAGTCCAAAGTAAGTTAAACATGGCAGGTTAACTAGATTCTGGGAAAACTGGCCCTGATGCGAGTGTGTGCGTGTCTGTTCGTCTGCCCTGTGATGGACTGGTGTCCATTTCAGGGTGTACCCTGCCTTGTGCTCGTTGCCTGCTGGGGTAGGCTACAGCTCCCCTGTGGCCCTGAATCAGAAGAAGTGGTTAGAAATTGGGTTATTTAGTGGTGTTTTACGTATATCAAATGACAGATAAATACAAACGTAGACATTCTCAGCAAAAAACCGAAGTAATCTTTATGCTTCAAATAGGGGTGAGGAAGACAGAGGTGGTGCATGAACAGCTCTTGACACAAGACAAGAATGATACATACTTGTTCCAGTGGCTTTTAGAGTTCTTGTATAGGGCTGGGAACATGATAGGAAGGATCTTGGCTGCATTATCACTTATCAAGCTCATGATATATTCATTGTTCCAGTAATAAAGAGCTCTCTCTGCCACCTGAAAAACAAACAAGAGTTTTACCCACTAGTTCTGCCCGGTTCTCAGAGTGCGCATTTCACACCGGGATCAGAAAGTTTATCAAAGACAGCCTCAATAATTACCTCTCCAGAAAATTAAAACATAATAAGAATGAAACAAAATTCATGTTATTTCCCAACAACCACATTTTGAATGGAAAACTGCACCCTGCACCTCAAATGGATATTATATACATTTCACAACCCAAGAACTCACCATCGCACCTCACCTGAAAATGTGGACTTGACACACACTTGGCCAGCTGTCTGAAAAGAGGTTCCATGACTTTTACAAACTCAGATGGCTCTATAACATCCAGGATCTCTTCCAGTTCATTGAGGAACATCACCTCCTTTGGGCTATGGGTCTTTGGCCAGAACTTCAGCAGGCCCATAATGACCTGGGGGACATGCGACTCATGAGTCAAAACTTCAAGGCACTTCAAAAACAGGATAACTGTACCACAGAGGGGCTATTGTATGCACCAGCAGTTTGCTCCAGACAGACTGAATAGTCATGGCCAGAGAAAAATCTGAAGTTCACTAATGCTGAGTTTTACATAACCACTGAGGAAAACAGGCCGATCTCTGTTTGCTATATTAAAATAGTAGACAAATGATCCTATCCAGTCCTATCCCAACTTAACCTTTTCAACTACATTATGACTTACAGGGTAACAATCCCTGAATTCTGGACATTTGATGCTCTAATTTTTAAACGCACTGATCATTTAGCAGGAACCACTGTGTCTGAACACCACTGGCACTGCACTGAAAGCAAAGTCTCAGTAAAACGTCTAACACAAACCAGGCCGGCATCTAGAGCCATGTGTGAAAATCTGCAGATTATTTCTTAAAATCAGATTATGAAGAAGGATCTTATGAAACTCACTGTAAACTCATGCAATTTAAATGCTTTCATTTCTGTACTGAACAGTCTAAAAGTCAGCAAATTTAAAATAAAACTAGCAGAAACTGACAGAGAAATCCTTGCTAGAAGGCCAAGGTAAAAATACTTTAGACAAACATGAGTAAACATTTAATTTAAAAAAAATCACAAAATAATACATGGTCCTGCTTAGATTTTGATACATCTTAGAGAAGCCACAAAAAAGAAGTTTGACTTCTGCACCATTCAAAACACCCAAACTGTAAAACTGACCAAGTGACTTAAGGTTTTAAAGACCTCTCTTATTCCAATGTAACAAGCTCACAGAGATCTGTACTTACTGGTTCTGTTAGACTGCTGTCTTTTTCCAGAAATTGCACCACACAGTAAGCCAGCTATAAAAAAAATGAACACAAGCTGACAAAACTGCAACATCGGAAAATGTACAGTACTCTGTTTACAGAAATTGAGCATTTTAAAAGAAGTGTTATTACCTGTGGGTGGTACACACTAAGTGATTTCACTTTGTGCAATGGCAGCAATACTCTGATCAGGAACATTTTATGCTCTTCTTTCAACGGTAAAGCAAAACCATTGATTATACTAGAGAAAGAAAGGAACAAAAGAAAAAAAGTCTGTAGATGTTTTTAAAATTTCTATTTAATTTTTTAAATCAGGAATGTCCATACTACTCACCTTCCTAATATTTCTAAGAGCTCTGCAATTCCATTGTGATGCTCCGTTTCATATATAAATCTAGGGAAAAAATATGTGCAATCTATTGGTTGAAAAATGAAATTAAAAAAAACACAAACACATTCATCATTATCATTCTAGTCTCAAATCTTCTCAATCTTAGCCCAGCTCTGCTGGAGTCGTCAAGTCTTTGGGAGGTGGGAAGAAACATGAGCACCCCAAGAAATGTTACTAAATATACAAAGAGCATCCAAACTCCACACAGAAAGTGCCCTGGCCCATGATCCCAGAAAGAGCTATGAGGCACCATCACCATCCAAAATCCCACTGTACCAACCTTCCTTTTCAAATCTTACTACAGCATGTTTATTTATAAATTATTTTTATCAATGAATGTCTTCATCTTTCCAATAATTTGCTTAGTTGATGTTCAAAAGCGGAAAGGCTCTTCAGAACACTATTTCATACTCCACAGAAAAAATGTCAATGTATCATTTTTTCTCTGGCAGGACAGAGCAGCGAAACCTTGTTCTTTAAGCACTGAACAGAAGCAGGCTTAATTAACATCCCTGCCAACATGTTTTTATACTGGACAACTCCCTACAAGGAGCCATATATTATCCCTAAAGCAACACATCATGAAGCAAACTACATGCAACAAAACAAACCGTACCTCACAATTCTAAACATCTGCTGAAATGTGGTGCAATTTTCTTACCTGTAGAATATATTATTGATCTGTCGTCGTATATATGCTCTCAGCCCCAGAAATTTGCCATAGATCCTGTGGAGAATGGTCTTAAGGAAATCTCTTTCTCTGGGGTCTTCACTATCAAATAACTCCAGTAACTGTCATGGAGGATGGAAGATGGAAATGGGAGATCAATTCTTCATACAGTATTGCTCAAACATGACTGAAATATGAGGGTGTAGGTACAGGTCTAACCATAAACAGCAACAAAATGCTCAGATCAATTTGTAACACCATTCAGATCAAACATCGTTACTCCACAGCCTGCATACTTCGAACCCCTGTGATGCTATCAAAAGTCAGCAGATAAGAGCCATGTGGGAAGACAGGGAGCAAAGAACAGTGTACCCTTATGTATGCTAATGCATAACAGTTTTATTCTATTCTCTGTATCACAATGTAATACAGTGTGATCCGTGCCTGAAGACATGTACAATTGCTGGGGTTACGGGGTACTCAAAGACAACTCCCTCTTGCACGTTTCACCTTGACTATGCAACATAACCACATTAAGAAAAAGTTCAAACTTGGTTAATGTATCTTTAACACTAGACATCGAGGAAAAAAACATTTTTAAAAAATTCCTGTTTTTTTGTATTGCTGCCAACACAGTGACATTATCTTCCAAACTCCATGAGCAACATTAACACCTCCTTTCTTAATAATAATATCAGCCAAAGCACAAATAATTCAGTGATCATGCATAACAAATTAATCCAAATCCAAATTAATTTTCTGTTGTTTTATATGAATCAGGGACACAGCAGTGCACTGAATCACGTTAGAAGCTTGATTTAAACACCATTATCAAAAAAGTGCCTTAACAGCTATAATTTTTAACAATCAAAGTTATAAATGGTTTCAGAAACTATTAGAACAAGATTAACAATACTTACCGACAAAACAAACTTTTGGTCAATGTGTTTTTTTGCAATGTTTGGCTGGAAGTCCGGTGATTCCAACAGTCTTAAGAAAAATTCATATACAAGCTGAAAAAAAAACATGTTGGGACCACTGTCAGAAGGCGACACAGCATACATGGACTTTTGTCCTAATGAATTGCGCTATTACTGCAGATGCCATTAACCTTCATCATAAAAACACTTAGAGAATGATAAAAATAAGTGACGAGAAACACACAAAAAAAATCCTGCTGGACCACTTACCTATACCCAGCATGTTTATTACAGAGTTGCGGAATTTGTTTATTCTAGTAGGATTGTTCTACAAAGTAAACACTACGGAAAGGGCCCCGCCCACCTGGAGGTGTGGCCACGCAGCTTCCAGTGTTGGCTCATCCTCCTCGGGGTCAAACTCCGCCCCCGTCGGGTTAGAGGAAGGTGGGAGGGTCCTGAACAGGTTCGCTGAGAACTGGCAAAACAAAATAAAAGAAATCAGAAAAGTTCAAATAAAAACATTTAGACAATGGTACCTTCTTAATCAGCTGCATTTTACATATTCAAACACCTAGGATGTTCTGAAAATAAGTCTTCTTCTACCGATGGCCATGAAGCACTGTGTAGGTTAAGTAACTTAACTGCTTGGCTGCACATATCTATGTCCCCAACTTTGTGCTTTCTGCAAAGGGAAGGGCTGATGTAAAGGCTCCCAGGCCTCTCTCCATGATCAGGTCTAGAGCGGATCAAGCAGGGCCAGTATTAAAATGAAACAGACAATACCGCTGGCAAGAGGAGCACAGAAATATAGGACCCGCATTACAACCAGATGCAGCTGTGGCAGCTGGACATCAATTAAAAGAGGGTCACATGGAGAGCAGGTGCCATGAACAGATCTGTCTCAAGTGGGAATTCAGCAAACTGAATTTCCTCTCAAACACACATGTGAAAAAGAGTGGCTGTATCATGTGATGCAGACAGAGGAGGGTATTGCCTGGAGTTATGAATATATTTTTTCAGCTGATCTTCAACTACCCTCTTACTGAGTAGCCCCTGCAAAGATCCCGGCAGCTGTTCTTGAGTCTGGCCTCACCATAGCAACAGCCTCGGGGTAGATGGCCTCAGTGACCACATCGCGGTTGTGCGTGATGTACTCCACCATCTCATTGAGGCCAGCGCGCTTCACCTCCTTGTACTTCAGGTCGCTGAGGGGGTCGGAGACGAAGTCGAAAAGCACGCAGCACTGCCGCAGTTTCTCCACGAAGAGCTCCTCCCTCTCGTGGGGCGGGGTATCTGCACAGCACAGCGAGGACAGCAGGTCAACACGGAGCTCAGCCACTGCCTGCCACCCACCCCGAACACGAGGTAAAGCAAGAGGCGGTACTGCTTCCCGCTAGCCGGGAGGCTGGTTTCTCTCGCAACGTGGAGGAGTCCTTTCAGTACGCAACACCGTGCTCATGGATGACGGAACAAGTACAAGTGTTCTGTCGCACTTGCACTGAATTGTCCTTGCTAAGGAGGACCACACGGTCCCACAGCACTCACAAAACTTTTACAATGTGTTGCTGGCCTCACCTTTTCACAAGCACATATAAACAAGTGTAACATTACGGAAAACAAAAACCTCCAGCACCTCAAACACCAGCGACCTTGACATCCGTCCGTTCGTGTTCTCTCATTACGAAAAAGCAGGGGTCAACCAGTATGATTGTAGAAGTTCAATTCATACGGCTTACACGCTTTATAAAACAGCCAATTTAACCTATTTTCAAGGCTGTGGCACGAGCTCCTTCACCATCTCAGACGTGAGTTATTTAGATGTGGTGGGAGACAACACAGAAAGGTCAGCACAGCCTCCTGGAGGGGATGAGAAACAATCCGCTGTGAGGCAAAGACAGTCTGGAGAAACTTCAAGGTTTTCTGCACTCCATTGCTCAAAGCACACACTGTCAAGATCACAAATGTCATTCCAGCAGACAGGAGTCCTGAAACCCGTCCGATGCCAGGCAGGTGAAATGGGGCGAGTGTGAGGCACACACTCAACACAGTCCTGGAGATCAGCTGGCACCTGCCACTGTGTCGCGGACGAGCCAATTTCAACATGACAGGCTAAGCTCCAGGCCAGCCATCCGTTTAATTGAGGCTTTAAACTAGCGCCTGCAAAATGAGAACAGTGATCAAATAATTTTTATGGCATAGACGCATAGATTCAGACTGTCATTTTTGGTTATAGCTCTAATACCCAAATGAGATTTGTGAGAAATATTCCCAACAGTTTATTAGAATGGGATAAAAAAAAGAACAATTATTGATGCATACTCTGAAGCTTGTCACTCTAACAATGGTGCACAAAACATGAATTTCTCAATCCCCTCAATCAGGAAGCCAGCTCCAAGAGTGCATGGAACCTGTCCCTTAAAATAGGGACGATGATAAAGCAGAATTACCTTAATTTCACTTGATGGCAGCAGGACACTTAAGAGTATCCATACAAAAAGGCTCAGATAAATATGATTGCCACATGCACAAATACTTATTTAAGTCGGTCTAAGGATTATCACACGGGCTGCACAGAAAACTGAAAATGTACATTACCGTTCAACATATGGAAAAGTATATTCTAAAAATATTTACTACATGCGCTGTTGATCTACAACCTGCTATGCAACGCATCCCAATAGTGTGATTTTGAGAACACAGTAATGCACTTACAGTAAAAACTTTGTTTTGTGCTTTTTGGGACATGCTAAAGGTTACATCTACCAGCAGAAACAAAAAAAAAAAAACGATAACGAACTCGATAAAATGTTGACCTAAGAAACAGTACATACAGATAGTGGACAAAGTATGTAAACACCTTGGTAAATGAAAGATATAAAGCACACTACACTGAAAGCAAGGCCTTCCAGACAGCTGTGGCTCATGTGTTAATTAAGCAAATAACATGGTCAGGCCTGGCCGCCCATAATTACAGTTAGCATGTGGCAGGAGGCAGCCTTGTGACTTTGAAAGAGGGGGGAATCACTGGAGCTCGTTTGGTGGAAACTCAGTTTGCTGATGCTCCAAGACCAAGGGTGTCTAAGGAGTTTCCATTATTATAGTCTACTACCTGTCAAAATAAAATGTAGAAATTAACAAAGATTTGGAGACCATGGTCTCTTCTTAATAATGGCCTTAACAATCTAAAGCCGATCATCAAGAATAACGAGAACCAAAAAATATGTTTTCTGATTATGTCCTTAAGCCACATACAGATAAAATAAGGAGGGATTTTCAATTTCCACAAAAATTCTCTAGAATAAAATCTAAAACCCACACCCGTCTTCAGATGCTCATCCTCATTTTTATCCATAATTTATTCTGAAATTAATTTATGAAGAAGACACCGCAGGCTGGAGGGTGACGTTTTAGGGGCAAAGGAAAGGCAGGCAGGTTGTGGCTGCCAGCCGACTCCAGAACTCGTACGGTAAACTACAGGGACAACGGCGGCAGCGATGCAGACTGAAATTGGGAAAGAACAGGCCTGGGGGTCCCATTCACACAACACAAAAGAAGGAAAGGAGTCCGACGGCTTCCTGTATTTGTTTCACTCCAATTCCGAGGAGACGTCCCAGCACACTAGAATTCAATCAAGGCTGTGGCTTCCCTTAGACCAGAGCGCACTGAGAAACCAGACAGGAGGAAACGAAAAGCTACCGGGACACTACACAAGACATTTCCAACTTTAATAATAACTACATTTCGATTGGGCTGTTTCAGATTGCACCGATCTGCCAAGTTCAGTCAATGGGCTGAGAGGAGAGGCCACATAACAGAAAGGTTATGGCAACGCATCTTCTTCGTTACAGGGAAAAGCCATGCAATGCAAACTGAACTCCCGTACACAAAATGAGATAATTTCCCAGAAAAACAAACTGGTTGGTGTCTTTCAGCTGTTGATAATCAATTCTGGTTCCTGTCATTTTCAGAAAAAATAATGAAACAGCACTGAAGCCATGAACAATGACATATTTAAAAGTGAAGACACTGCACAGCTATTGTATTATTCTTGGCTCAAGAAATATTTCCAGAACTATTTCAATCTAATGCAATATAATGACAAAGACTACAATTTAACTACTTTTAGGCAATACCTCTAAACCAAACAACAAAGTTAAGATTTTCTAGACAAAACTGTCAGGATAAGATAAGCAACCGTGGTGGTCTGCACACCGGAAAATTGTACAGGGTTTACAAGGTGGGATATGCATGTGGGGTTTGCCGTATATTGATCATGGGGCATTTTAGTTAGAGGGAAGGCATTTTGAATCTGAGAGTCCAGATTGGAAATGGCATACGTAAGGGTAGTAGCCTCTCTGCCTCGAACTCCTGTAAAGTCTAATCTCATGGTGTCCTTGCAAAGAGGTCTTTGTGTTATTATTTTCACTTTGAAATTGGAATGTTCTCCCCTATTCATATCCGATGTCTCCCAGGTGCTCCGGTTTCCTCTTACAGACACACTGACATAATAGCAGGTTAAGTGGCTTCTTGTATAACTGGCCCTGGTGTGAGTGTGTGTGTTTGTATCAGTGAGCGCCCAGCGATGAACTGGCGTCCTGTCCAGGATGTGACCTGTCTTGGGCCAGCTGCTTGCCGTGATAGGCCGTGAGCCCCTGCAACCCCGAACAGGGTAAAACACTTAGAAAATGAATGGAATTTGTACTGCGGAGTACATTCTAACCTAACAACAAATTTTGAGCACTACAGCAATTAACAAAAGCTAAAATACATGTGGCTGAATTAGGGATGTTCTCATGAAAATTATTGTTATGATTTGTTAAGTCATACGTTATGTGCAAAACATGTTAAAAGGGGAAAAAGGATAATTCAGAGTTGTTTCAATTAATCCTACTCATCACAAGTGGAATTACTGAGGGGCTGGCGGACATCTGCCTACTATAAATGAAAAAACAACACCCTGAGACTAAAAAGTCTGGTTACATTTTATCTACCGCAGAAATAAATCACACCTTTTAATAGACTAAGAAAAACTAAAAATGTTTAGCTCAAAGTAAAAATTAATTCCATCAAAAATAAGAAAACTAGCGGATTCCATTTTGAATGCTACTACAGCTATTAAAGAAAATATTGCAAAACACAAAGAATTTAGGAGAAGTCTTGAAAAATATATTTTACAGGACAACGACATTTCTCTGCTTGTGCCTGAAACCATGTGTACTTTACACTTAGATATTACAAGCCTCTTCAGATAGGGATGAGGCGCACATATAATACATCAGGAATGAAAGCTTAATCCAGTCAGCGAAGTGTGTTATGAAGAGGTTTTCTGACCCCTGTATTAAAAGGTGTTGCACTGCTGATCCAGTTACTGGATCAAACACACGTGTTATCATAGCCACACCAAGGACAAGTCAGAAATCCAGCACATCAGCACTTGTTGTGGCATTGAGCTTTTCCTGAGAAGCCTAATAAATTCTCCCCTAACAGTCTGCTGAGAGAGAGACTAGAGTTATCATAAGAAGAAGAAAAAAATCATTTTCAAAAGAAATCCTTTTGAAAAACTGAAAAATCCTTTTAAAAAATATCTCCCAAATGCTTATAGTTAGGTTTCTTGAAGGTTATCTTTGAAGAGTGTTCTGAAGGAAGTAAAGAAGGAAAAATATTTTTTGTCTGCTGGCGCCACAGTCATGTGAAATAACAAGCATTCAGAGTGCTCCTAAACAGAGTATAACACATCTCTGTGGTTTGGGAAACCCTGCACAACCTCCGTGAATCCTGTACTTTCACTGAGAAACAGCAGAGCTCTGCGAGTGGAATGGGCACCGCGATCTGACAGCCCTACCTTTCAGAGCTGGGAGTTTCTGCAGCTCGCGGTTCTTGCTGAGGTTGAATCGTGACGAGCTCTGGCGCCTTTCCTTTTTCACGATCTGCGGGCCCCCCGAGTACTTGATTTTGTTCAGCTGGGTAGGAGGCGGGGTGCTGTTGCTGGGGCGTTTGCTCGCCGTCTGCTGCTGCTGTTGGGCCTGAAGGAAAGCACAAGCTGAGTAAACCTGCAAAAACATCTCCATACACACAATACCACGCAACTCCACATGTGTACAGGCAGAGCTCAACCCGCCGTTTCCCTCCACCTGCAGTACATCAAACACAAACATGTCCTCTTTCTGCAAAACACTAAATGTGCAATCCAAACTATTTACAATTTTGTAGATAATCAAATATTATCTAGTACTTAGATAATACTAGTAATTAATCACACCCCCACTGGCAGAAATCACAGCTTCCAAAGGTTTCCTGTGACTAGCTCCGAGTTTTTCTATTCTTGCTTTTGGAATTTTTTCCCCACTTTTCCTTGCAGAACCCTTCTCATTCCAAAACCTTAATCTTTCATTCCTGTAAGTACTTCATGGTTGATTTTGAGGTATGTTTCACATCGCTATCTGGCTGAAATATCCAACCTCTTTTCAGCTTTGATTTCTTTACGGGCTCTGGGACATGAGCTCCTAGGATTTGTTGATATTGAATTGAATCCGCTCTTCCTTCGAGCCCCACAATATCTCCTGTGTCGCTGGCTGCCATAAATCCCCATGTCTATCGGCTGCCAAGGCTTCTTCAGATGCTTCACCTATTCTTCTTCAAAGGCATCTGTGGTTATGGCTAAAAAGGTCAGTTTTCGTTTCATCAGTGCAAAGCACTTTGATCCAAAAAGTTTCCGTCTCATCAAGATTCTGTTTTGCACACTTTTATACATTGACTTTTGTGATGAGGCTGTAGGAAAGGTTTCCTTTTGACAGCTCTTGCATGCTGATCATTTTTGGGCAAGCAATGGTGTACTGTGGAGCTGTAAATAACTACTCCAGTCTCAGCTAAACCGTTCTGTTGATTTGTAGTCAACTGTGGGTTCTGCTTGGTAGATCAGACCAGTTTTCGAGCAGTTCTAGCAGAGATTTTTCTAGGTTTTCCAGATTTTGCCAGTTTAAAACAGTTCGCTTTAACTTGCATTTCTTAATGTTGCTTCTGACAGGTGAAACTGCAAACTGAAATCTTTTACTGACCTTTTACAGCCTTCCCCCCCGATTTGTAAGAGTGAATTATCTTTATTTTCCAAGACCTCAAAAGCTGCCTAGAGAAGCCCACGGTTGTTGAAATTAGGCAGAACAACAGCCACAACCTGAGAGGTTAGAAGTGTCAGAGTATTTGTTCAACCCTGGAATTGAAATCATTCAAGGCACTGTGATTTAACCAGGTTTTGTGGCCTTTGAAAAGCCCAAATTAAAAAAGTAGTCATGAATCAACTGGAAGGGTGCCCAAACATTTGCACATGCCACACTCTCTATTTTATTTTTTTCAATCTATTTAAAATCAGCACATAAATAGTAATTTTCCATTACGATCTGTAGAAAGATGTTGGGTTTAACTTTGTACCATGCAGAGGCTGCGTCACATTCTGCTGAGAGATTCGTGTAAACGCTATTTAACCAGGGGCATCTAAACTTCCTTGCTAGAACTGTCTTCAGCTTTCCATGAACTAATAACATCAGTTAAAACATATCATTCTCCACTCCCTTCAACACTTTTGAAAGCCTCCAAACATGCATACATATGTTAATCTAAAGAAATCTAACACCTGTAAGTATTAATCATTCATTAGACAGAATTCACAGGTACAAGACATAGTTATAATTTTGTTATAAAATGTGGAGTTGAAGTGTAATTTGTGATGACAGGTTCTCTTCACAGAAATACACAAGCACGTGTGAAATTCAAAGTTCTTTACAAGCAAAGCTAAATGCAGTATTAAACCAGACTGTGTCAAGTCCCACAGAGCATACAAACATGTTGGCAAAACACAAGATAGAAACCTATCAAACACCAGACCAGTAACAAATATGCTGACGGTGGGACAAAAAAAACAGCTACTCAACACAAAATAATCAACCCGGGGAAGAAAGAAACAGAGGAACTCACAACCCAGATGATGACTAGATAATTACCCTAAAGTTCACCATGTGTAATGATCTGTTTATTCATTTATTCAGCAATATACAAGTATCTGGACCAATTATGAAAACCATCTGCAATTAGAAAAAAATTAAAATGACTAAGGGAAAATCAGAAGATTTTTAGGCCGAACTCTAGGCTGAATAGTGTTTGAAATTAATGTGATCATTTTATCTTGTTTCTACAAGTCCTGATGGATTTCTTTTTGTTTAAAAACTGTCATTGACGCCGATCTTTTGGCCCATCAGTTATTAGTCTTGCGTAAACCATATTCCATCCTAGAGGCCTCTTCAGAGTCTTTGTTTAACAAATTCCAATTACTTCCCTCAGAATGAAGGTACAGATTTCCCCATTTAAAAACAAGTAGGTTTAAGTTTTCCTTTACACCTGAGACTATAACCTTGCTTAACAAATGATTATTGTGAGTAAATACAAGTGTATTGTTTGTGGGTTTTCTCTATATAGACTGCTTTAAACCAAATTGCCCCCTGGGGATAATTAAGGCTCTGTCTCATTTGATTTAGTATATAAACATACCTTGCTGATTTCTTGTTGTTAATCTCTACTTAACCATCAGCCCGGTAGAGCAAAAACAGACAACTCAGATGAAACAGTAATTCACAGTCTGGGATTGCACCAGCTGATTAAAGGCTACATGAATATTTACAGCTGTGAACAGCAAGCCTGCCTCACTTCATCTGGAACAGTGCTATTTGCAAATCCATGTATTTTAATAGGCGGTTCTTTATCTTAGGCAGATATTTCGTACTAGAGATAGGCCAAAGGTCAGAATATCCAACTGATACACATCACCTCAGTAAATAAACCTTACATATCTTCTGGTGGCAGGCTGGGTGACTAGGTGAAAACAGGTGTGTTATAAAACAGTCAGTGGGTCTGATTTGTGAAGGAGCTCCCAGGTGATCTGCAGTTTGACACACTGCATGAATCTGTTGAGATCCTCCTGGGTTTTACTTTTCTCTATCGGGGATCCTCTACCACACCCTCATTAGAGTGACCTGGAGAACAAACCTCTCTGCTGCGGTCGGGCACCGGAGCGAAACTAGAGCAGGGGACAGCAGGCCTTGGGCTCGGGCATCACGCAAGCCAGGTCCTGCAAGGACCCCTGGGCCTGAATAGCCCGATCCAAAGGGCCCGCTGGCCCGCTGAGGCGCGTGTGAAACCCGTTCAGGATCCTAGCGCGGGTCGGCCAGAGGTGGCACCTAGCAGCAAGAGAGACGCTCCTTGCTGTTCAAAGGCAGAAGCTGTAGCTGCTCTCCGTTCAAAACCTCATGACACTCCGTGTCAAAGCCCATCAGCAGCACCCCATCCAAGGAGGCAATTGTGGGAGGATGTTAAAGTATGGCCTTGAGCATCATAAACGCTCTATGTGCAAGGCTCTACACAGATGGTATTTAGGTACACAAACACTAAAAAGACCAGATGACTTTAATGTTGCACATGAGATGCAAAGGTATACACCTGGTGATGGCGTTACATTTTCTATAGCAGCATTTACCCTTGTAAATGGAAAATGCACAAACCTTTAGTGAAAGATATGTTTTATTGGGTGCTACTTATGTGAACACCTGCGCATAAGATGACAGAAGAGATGGGTGACAGGCAAGAGGAGGTGAGCACTCTTCTGTACTTGAGAACATTTGTTTTGTGGCCTGGAGCACCGGCCCTCTGCATAAGAGCACGAAGCTCCTGTCACTGAAATTCAAGAGATCTCCTGGCGTGTTGGCAGGGAATGAAGGATTTGACCAGAAAGTGTGACTCCATCTCCCGAGAACCACCAACTATGAGGACCCCCACCTGCTGTAGTGTGTCAAGTCTCTTGGCAAATCAGTGTGCCAAAAATTCTTAAGAAGCTTAAGGAAGAATCGCAAGGAAGAATGGGGGCAGTGATGAGTTTGAAAAAGGTGCAGAAGAAGTGAGTGCAGAAAATTCTTCTTAATGCAGGAGGAGTCGTGCTTGGCAGCACTGCAACAGTTCATATCCTGAGCATAGAAACGAGTCTGGTCCATCCTCTCTGGAGATTCTGTTTGGACAGAGATGGCAGAGAGTGATACCAACACAGTGCTACACCGCTTGGAGATCCGTCTTCTCTTTTTGAGCTTCCCTTGTTATTCTTTTTAAGGATTTAAAAGATAGAAGTGGGAAGGGGGAGAGGTGTATAAACCGAGCAATGTGCACTGATTGGCGAGTTGGGATTCTTCCTAGACAAGAAAACGATGGCAAAACAATTCTCCACCATAATAAACTGAGTAAAAAAAAAATACTGAACCATTAGGCACTATGTCACTGTTTTTCTGACCTATTTACATGATTTAATTCATGATCAAGTTCTAGGAAAGAGTAACTGCTTACAGTACTGTTATTAAAAAAGCAGTATATCAGACTTATGACTGGTCATGTTGCAATTAGCCATACACATGAATGATCAATGCCTACATGAAACAACAGTCTTCTTGTCCTGGTTTGACTCAGAGTGCCTCACTGCTGTCAAGAGGTTTAGGAGAATTATATCTATGAAGTAAAAAAACGAACTTTCAGGCAGTCTGATTTCTTATCTTATGATGCAATGATCAACGTTTAACAATGAAAACGTTGCAACAGGATTTCGTTTTTCACGGAAATGTCCGATTGCAAAGAATGAAACGAGATAAGAGATCTGGGAGCCTCAGGGCTCTGTGAACGGGGACAGACGCTGCACATTTCCAATCTCGCTGCCAGAAGTTTGGAATTGAAAGACTCAGTATTCAAATCTAGAAAGTTATTATCCAAAAGTTCATATTCCCTATTCCAGATTTAGCAATGCAAGACTTGGGGTAAGTCCAGAACTACTGGTGTTGTAAAAGCAAGCGTTAGATAGGCAGCTTGGAGACTGCATGTTTTAGCTCAAATTGCTCTGGGACAAAAGTCCAAGGCAAGAGTGCAGAGCTGACTCATTCTCCCACTGACACTCCAGCTCTGAAGTGTCTGTTCTGAAACTGCAGATCAAAGATCCCCCACCAAC